TGATTCTATCTCTCTTGTATTTTCCCCATATCGGCACAAAACCATCTTTTCTTCATACCAATCTCTTAACTTTCCAAGGGCACGCTTTCAAGAAAATTTTCTGATTTTAATATATGTTAGTTAGCATGTTTTCATCATAAAAGAAATGAAAATTTTCCCTTGGTGGAACCCTTTTCTCATAAATCTTCTTGTTTTGGCATTTTACCTTAGAATCTGTTTTTGCAGCCCACTTTCAAAAATTCTAAAAAAATTTATAAAATTATTATGGACCTATATTTTATGTCAAAATCTTCCTTAAGGAGTTATCTTTCAACTAAAATTGGTTTCATAGAAAAACAGTGGGATGTTTCCAAGAAAATCAAATTTTCGTAACGATCGACAAATCTGGACAGCGCTGGAATGTTTTCTAAATAACTTAAAATCTAGAAAGACTATCCCCTTTCCGAAATATGTTCTAGATACTAGATCAAATTCTATACGAGCCATAGGAAGGCCGAGTCCGGTGAAAGATCTAAAATAGTCTTTTCATTTTCATCTTTATGCGATAGTAAATCTAGAAATTGTGTTATGGTGGATGCATTATGCCCTTGAGTTCATGAGATTGCTATTAGCTTATGATCATATCTTCGCATGATATTATATGTGTTGCGGTTATGTTATTTACCTTTCTCATCTTAAGAATGCATGCTTACATGGATATTATTGTCTTGTAAGTTGGACTAACCTCGATTTAAAACATTTAATTCAACGGGAAACCTAATAGGGAGGGTATTGGGTTTTCGAACACTTGAGTAATGAAAAGATGAGAATATGTGATATATGGTTTGTTGGGATGCGTTCCCTATTTGGAAGTTAAAGTCTTGCGCAAGTGATTTTCAGGACCCTTGAACGGAGCGGTTGTATCCGGACCCTAGGTGGTTTGGTGTGAGGAGGGATTCGGGAAAGGCCCTATTTTATTGTCTCTTTTGAGGCCCTGCGGTTGGCGCTACACGGTATATAACTGTTAGTAGGCATCCGAGGTTAGTTCTGTAACAAAGCAGCAAAAGATAAGGCATACCGAATAATCCGTGTCCGATTCTTGTGGTTGGGAGGACGAAGTCTCTTTGGGGGTTTTTAGATTTCTAACATCTAACCTTGTAATCCTTTATTATTGTAATGATTATCATGCTTTATTACTTGCTTGTTATATTTGTGTTTGTGTATTGGACTGAGAAAAAAGGATGGGGTGTGTGTCCGTTTACTGGGCATTCAAAGCTCATGGCGTTTCATGCCAGGTATCGAAGAAACGTACGAAGCCAACAAAGAGTCAAAGACATTTGAAGACTTAAGTTTTCCTTAGAGAAATTTTGGGAACCATTTCGCTCATTAGTCCAATTGTGCCTTTATTTATTGTTTTTGGATTGTATTAGTAATGGAACTCGTTTTGTAAGTTAAAAAAATTTGAGACGCTATAATAATTATTTACCTTGTAATCCTATGCCTATCTCTGCGTTGCTTATGAGACCTTGCGTCAATGCCTTTTAAGAACTGTCAAAAGGGTGGTGCGCTACCTAAGAAAGCTGGACTTAAAAGGGAGGCTAACTTGACTCCTCCGACGATCTGGGATCTTACTCGGTCATTGGCCACAGGACTCATTAGTGTCGTTTTCTAGACTCTTAACCTTAGATAAACCTTGTATTTAATTGATAATGTATTCTTTGAAGTTCGAAATTTTTGGGGCGTTACAGTATGTATGAGAATAAATTGAATAGATAAAGGAAAAAATTGAACATATAGTAAAAAAGTTAAATAGATTGGGTAAAAAAATTGAACAGATGGGGAAATTTTTTGAATAGATAGGAAAAAAATTGAACAGAAATTCCACGAAAGTCAACAAATAAAAAAAGTAAACAAATAAATTAAGGAGTAAAATTAGAAACAAAAATGTCCTGCAAAACAGATAAAAAGACTTCTCATCAAATTATTTCGTAAATGGTAGACCTCTCACTAATAAAAAATATACACTAGATCTAATGTCATATACCCTCCTTAACTTGGACTTTTCAACAATTATAAAAAAAAAAAGTCAACGGATAAATTAAAGGGTAAAATTAGAAACAAAATGTCCTGCAAAACAAATAAAATGACTCTCACCAAATTATTTCATAAATGGTAAGGTTCTCAGCAACAAAAAATATACATTAGACCTAATGTCATATATCCTTTTTAACTTGGACTTTTTAACAATTATCCAAAAAAAATAAAAATAAATTATTGTTGTTACATAAATTGTAAGGGTAATTTTATTTACATACCTCAATTGTATGGGAAATTCTATTTCCATACACCTATTTACTTCAGTGCACATTATTTCTCAGTGCATACACTTTTACTTCAGTGCACATTATTTCTCAGTGCATACACTTATTAATTTGGTTATTGATTATTCTTTTCATTCCACACACTTTAAGTTCTAATTATACCCTAATTCATATCCTTGTATACACACCACTTAAACACACATTCCACATACCTTTATCCATTCAATTGAAAACCCTCTTCCACATATGTATGAAAATAACCCATTGAAGAAACAATGAAGACCCATTGACATCTTTAAGACCCTATATTTGACAACTCCATTGAAAACCTTCCAATTGAAATCTTTTTATGTATTATCTATTTGCAATTTCCCCAATTCTACTCAGTTAGAGCATCTCCAACGGTTTACCTAATTTTTCATCAAATTTGAGTAAAAAAATGACCATTTTCTCAATCTGATACAGAATACTCCAATGGTTGATTTTCATCAAATCTGCTCCAGGGACAACCGGTTGGTCGACCGGTAAGGCAAAATTTTTTTTTTAGAATTGTTTAAACCTATCTATTTGAACTGTTTGAATCTTTTAGTGGTCAACTGGGCCGGTCGACCGGCTGGTGGACCGGTAAGACAAAAATATATATATATATATATATTTTGAATTGTTTGAATCAACCCATTTGAACTGTTTGAATCTTTTAGTGGTCGACCGGTTGGTCAACCAACCGGGCAACCGGCTGGTTGACCGGTTCAACTCTTCCAACGGTCAGGAACAATAATTTGGTGGTGAATTCTCAATTTGATACCGATTTGATACAACCGTTGGAACACCAAACAGTGACTTTTTCATAAAAATTCAAATTTAATATCAAGTTTGATGAACCATTAGATATGATGTTACACCGTTATTCATAATTTTTTAATTACAATTTCACCTTTCAATCAAATATTCAAATTGCCATCATCTAGATTCCATCCCCTTCATCCAAAAACCCCAACCTAACTTATTGACAACCACCACCACCGGCCAACCATCACCGGTTGGCCAACCACCACCATCACGAAGTCATCTTCACCGTCGCTGTCGTCGTCGCCACTCTCTTCTTCCTTTTTCTTCTTCTTCTTTTTTTTTTCCCTCACTCCGTCGCTATTGCCATAACCACGTTCCTCTGCAACTCGCCCTCCCTGTCGCTCCGCCGTCGCTGCCATTGCTGCTTCGCCTGCTCAGTCGATCGTTGTCGCCACCATCTCATAACCGCCACCATTACAATGACCATCCCTAACGACCTACCACCATCGCGCCTCTTATCACGCGGAGACCACCACTATCCTAACTAGTCTTCTGTCGCCGACCAACCACACGTAATCCGTAGACAGAGAGTGAGTGAAATCTGTGGAGGTTGCGACGGCTGTGCATTGCGGCGGTGAGGGTTGAGATGGTGGTGGGGCAGCGGTGGTAGGAACGAAGATGAGGGTTGCGACAAGGAGGGGAGAGGGGCAGAGGTCGGTGGCTGACGGCTGATGATGGGCAAGGGTTTGGGTTTTGGGTTAAGGTTAGGGTTAGAGTTTGTTGGAGACGATGATGGTAATTTGGTATTATTTGAAAATTAGGCCTCGTTTGGGGACTAGTGGGCTTAGTTAAAAAGTCAGAAAATTATTTAAAAAGTAAAAAATTTAATAATTCATACAAAAAAAGTCAAAGATTTTATTTTCTTTTTATTTTTTGCGCATCTTTTCGTAAAAAATTAAAAAATTATCTCAAAATAATCAAAAAATTATTAAATTAGCATGTTCCCAAACGATGTTTTAATGGTGTGTATTGAGATAAAATAAAGCTTTAATTTGTGTGTGGTGTAAATTGAGCAAGTAGTGTGGACTGAAAAAATTTGTGATATGTAAATAGAATTATCCAAATTGTAAATGATACCAAATTTTAAAATAACAAATTATAAACTACATCATAAGTTGCATTAATTATGTAATTGAGCAAAATTTTAATTGGGTTGAAAAAATTGTAACATAAGACTGTATATATCATGAATTTAAATAGAAATTTCATTCATAATTGTCTCACTATTTTATTTTTTTTACTTTTATTTTTTTTTTTAAATCCAAAAATTTGTCAATTATACTCATGGATGCCACCATGAATGGCACTTCGATAATTTCAGTCGTTTATTTTGTCAAGTCTTTAAATAAATTGATTCAATAAATATAGTTACATAATTTTATCAAATTTATTTTTTTAAATTGATAAAATTATGTGATTGTGCTTATAAAATCATTATCTACACATTTTTTTTTTTTAATGAATAATCCATGCATGGGAATTAACAAAATAAAAGGAGACTTGAATTGTTAAAGTGAGACGAGAATAGAACCACAAATCCATCTAAATAGAATCCAACTTCTCTCAAATTGAAGAGAAAGCAAATCTTTTTAGCCATGGATTTTTGGTTTTCAAGTCCAAACCATTTTAAAGCAGACTTGGAGGATCCTTCGACCATTATGGGATCTGTTAAATTTTGGATCCAGATTCAGATGGATGGCTAATGAGATCAGATTTTCTGAATCCCATCCATTGACAGACTTATTTTGAAGTGAAAGTAAGCTATTGATTGGACTGATAATAAACATCATATTGTTGGATGGAAATGTTATACAACAGTAAGGTCATAAACTCAGGACCAGACACAAAAGGTAGTCTGGATAAAAACAATGGTTATATTAACATTGCTGAAATTTCTTCAAATTTGTCCTGTACATCTTCAATAGGATAACCAACAACAAAAACTAACAAAGTGGGAAAATTGTCAGAGACAGAGAGTTCCCTTTTCCTGAAAAAAAAAAAAAAGGTTAGAACAAAAACTATTCGGCCTTTCATTTCTGATATTATTGTGTGATCGAACAAAATTTGATTATCAACATGAACAGTGAAAAAAATGTGAACTAGCAAACTTTTTTTTTTCTTTTCTTCTTTTTCTGTTCAATTGGAATAGAATGCATTTTCAGACCCTCCTCTACTGTCATCAAAGCAATCTGTCCCAAATAAATCAACAAATGACCTGTACAACAATATGCCAATCCTTGATCTTCTTTCAGAGAACAAGAAGCTCCTCCAATGGCTGAAGATGTCTGCACCTTCAATTTTTAGGCCAAATATTGGTTGGACGGTACACATCTTTATCGGAGGCCACACATAGCATCACTCATTTCCTAATTTCAGCCAAACGATGGTCAAAAATCTCTGTAATTGGCGTCGCATGGCAATATGTCAAGTGTAATTCTATTTGCACACCACTCTCAATCTCAGTGCATACCATTTTTACCATTTAGATATCAACTTCCGAACAAAAATCAATTGCTCGGATACCAACTGTTGAATGGAATTTTTGTTTAAACAATTGGTTTTTATTCACAAGTTGATATCCGAACGGTATAAAATGGTGTTGTACTAAAATAAAGTGTGGTGTGCAAATAGAATTACCCATATGTCCACGTGAAAGTGAATATCCACAATCTCTTGCCCGGACACCTCAAAGTTGAACTTCATGGAGGTCATCCCCAATATTACCTCTATTCGTTGAGGAATCACCGGGCATAAACAAAGATGGAGGCATACCCAGTGCCTCACCAAGAGGTTTTATTTCAGTCGTTTTAGACGGATTAGATGTATCGGAAAAGCTCCCACTCCAAGATGCTGTACGTCGAGAATGTGGGGGAATGGAGCTTTCACAGTTCACCATCGCTCCTGTTCTTCTTGTAATGTTATCCATGCTAGGAATCCGCTGCATTGTTGCCATTGATGATGCCGACATTGGTGAAGATGGCAATGCACTGTTGTTCGCAACAGCTGCAGAGGGATTTTCACTGTTGACAATGGTTTCTTGCAAGTTTTCTCCTGTTTGTACCGTCCCATCTCCTGAGGTCACCGTAGTGGGGATGAAAAACTTGGCGTTGGAACCGACTGACGGCTTTGGAGAAGGAAGAGAAGGCGACTGAAATATGCTTGACGGGGTTCCACCACCCTTGTTGAAAGTGTCGACATACCTGATTATTTTCAATGCAAGTGGTAAACAATTGAGTTCAAGAAAGGGGGGAAATCAAATGCACTAGCCGAAGGCAACACAATAAACACCCCATCAAGAAACCAAACCAAACCAAGTGCCATATGTTCCAATCAAGTGTGGTTGGCTACACAAATCCTTTTTACCATTCAGCTCTGTCAAGGGCTATATACTCAATTAAAGCAAATAAATTCATATAAATTTTTTACTACCACATTCCATGTCAGCCTAGGTCTTCCCCTTTCCCTAGCATCTCCATTTACGGTGACCATATTACTCTTTCTTCCTTATCGTTGCATCTATAGGTATTTGTCGTACATGACCAAACCATCTTAACCTTTATCCCTCAACTTAACTTCAATAGGTGCTACTTTTACTATTTCACAAATATATTTATTTCTAGTCTTATCACACAATTTATCTAAGTACTTTCATTTCAGCTGTACTCATTTTATAAACATGTTTTTTAGTTGCCCAACACTTTGTCTTGTAAAGCATAAAAAATGAAATCCAAATAAACAAATAGGGGAAAAAATAGATGAAACAGAGAGGAGCTTTATGCTTGCTTATACCTTGCACGAACGCCCACACGTCCATGGGCAGAGAACTGGTTTGAACTGGGTGGAATGGGTGGGACCTCTGAATTCCATTCAGAAGAACTTGGGTTTTTATGTTCTGATCCGCCATTAGAATGTGAATTATCAATTTTAGATCCTTCTATTCTGTTCTGGAAAGCTATACTTGGTGGAGGTGGCAAGGTCGCTTCCTCAGCTGGTGCTTCAATGCCTTCTTCTAACCATCTCTTCAGCTTTTCATCATAATAAAATTTGTTTTTCTCACCCAGCTTAGCCTTCAGTAGAAAAACATGGAAGTATTTAAATGAGCAAGTTAGCCCAAAAAGATCATGCAGATAAATTTGCTCAAGGACAAAGAAAAAAATACAAAATAAGAAAAAGAAGGTTCATCTAAAAATTACCTGTCGATCTTGGCGGGATCTTAATACCAACCCCATGGTCTTCTGGAATAACTGTGAGCCAAAACGACCAAAACGAGAAGACGCACCTAATCCTGATGCCTTTTCTTGCTCAGAAGAACTTACCTGAGCAAAAGCAGAGTTAGAATAAAAGGACAGTCCCAGTGCATGAGGCTACCCCAAGCAAATTGGACATAGAACAAATATTCATACAAGCTAATGAATCTTTCTAGGCATGCCTGAACAAGGACATCAAGCTAAGTGCAATTATTTACAATTGTCTTTTTAATTTTTTTCCATCTCTAGTGTTAGTAATTTAAAAAATTAAATCGAATGTGAGGCGCTAGAGAGACAATTCTGATGAAGATCATGGAAAGAAGAAAAAGAGCAAATCTAAAATTTCACATGAAGCACATTTAGAGTATCAAGAATTAAAGATTTGAAATAATTTGTAGTCTTCATGTTATTATAGTAGGTTTTCGTAATTGAGGGTATAATGGTAATTCTAATAATTGTTGGACATGAGTTGTAGGGGTCACTCATGGGTTTTATTTTGGGTCAAATTATTAAATGGGGTATTATATATGGGTTTTATTATGTTTAAAATAATCTTAGTGGTCAAAAGTAAGTTTCTTATTTTGATATTGAAGTAGAATTAGAAGTCATTAAAATTTCTTATTATGATTGAAGTAGAATTGGAAGTCATAGTTGGTCTAGAATATTACTAGTTACTAAATATGTTTAGTTTCTAAATTTGAGAAATAGTACTTATAGAATTAGGAAAGTCCTTAGCCTATAAATATATGTGTAATCTCAATGATTCAATAGCAGAGTTAATATTATGAAAATTTGAGATTATGTTTGTGTGATTGGCCTATCCCTTGCGAGGGTGAAGCACTTCTCTCTCTCTCTTCTTCTTCTTCTTCTTCTATCCGGCAAGGTTACTGTTCACGTCACTGTTCACAGTGCTTAGAACAACCACCAAACTGCCCCAAAACACTTGTATTTTCGTTCCCAAAACCCTACCCTTTTACAAACCCTTAAACTCCTATTTTTTAAATATTTCTATAGTACCAAATCTAGCCCTACAACTCTACTATTGCTAATGTCAGTATACTTAACTCGGGCTCACTACTTGTAGGAAAGTAATCCCTACTCGTCCTACATCAAATTCATACATTCCTCAAGATTTTATTCTTATCTTTAGAGCAAAAACTTCTTCGCCTCACCTTTTATCAAAGATGAGCATTCCAACATATCTCATCAACTTCTCAACATCATCATCTTCTTATTCTTTGTTTCTCTTTTTTAAACTGAGTAAATAATTTACTTCTAGGAACCTCATAGACAGGCTTAAAGTTCAAGAACACAACTGTGAAGGGGGTGTTTGGGATAGGGTGTGAAATGGTGTTGTGGAATAGAGAAATTTGCATCTGATACATGGCCACATGTTAGAAAGAGGGATTTTGGAGAAGAAGGAAGGTGACGGGGTGCAATGTGACTTGGTTTCAGGTTCACCATTCTTAAAATAGGATGATGTGGTGCAATTTGACTCTTTGTTATTAAAATTTTATATATTCATTAAATTAATTTACAATTAAGTTTATGGGACAAAGGCAGGATTGGTAATTGAAAAAATTAAAACGATGATATCAATTATATTCATCTGTCTCATTAACTGAACGTAATGGAGGTCAGGTATCAAATATTGTTAGATGAAGTACGGGGTGTCAATGTAATTTTAGAAACTACACGGAAGGTCCATGTAATTGTTGGAAATCTCAAAGGGTGTTAGTGTAATTTTCCCATTGACTTCTGAAAATTGAAATCAGTGATACTTTTTCCCTATATCACTCACTAGGCTTAAGCTTAACCCCAAAATAGAAAAAAAGCTTGTGAAAACTGTAATGGTTAGGAAAGCAGGACATCTTCTATTAGCCAAAAAGAGTAATATTTACCTTTCTTGGTGATTTACCAAAATCTGGCTCTGAAGCGCTTCTACTGTGCTTCGGTCGATTGCTCCCACTATTCCATTCACTTATCGGTTCCGTTGATGCTGAAGGCATCAAAGAAGACATGGTCATTGTAGATTGACTGTTAGGCACCCTTGGGCCCACTTTTTGGTGATCATATTCATTGCGCTGAGCACTACTATGTGATGCCGATGGTACAGGTGGTGGAAGCCCTCCCACAACCCGATGAGCAGTACTATCAAATAAGTTCAGCAATTTACCCATCAGTTTTGCTGGAGCCAAATTAACAGAGTATCCACCCTGTAAATGGTGTCTTTGTAAGATACGAAAATAAAAAGGCTCAATTGAGGAACAAACCAAATATCATGGACGTACCTGCTGGTGAATTTTAATCCGCTCCTCAAGAGATGATACGAAATTCTTCCATGCATCCACTTCTGGTACCCGGCTAGTTTTTAAACACTTCAAAACAGCTTGACAGTATCTGAACCAGCAAATACACATTACAGGATGCGAAGGCAAAGGGGTATAACAAAATCTGAAACAAAAGATAAATAATAATACTTACTTTAACGAATCTGACACCTTTCCCACTTCAGCTAGTATATGTGCATAGATAAGCTTATATGGTTGAAATGGTAGTAGAATGAACTGTGGATTTCCAAGCACCTTTGAATATTCATATAACTCTGTCCTCTATCCAAATTTTCAGAAGGCTATTTCAGTCATATTCAGGAAATAAAGAAACTCAAACTTCAAAAAGGGAATGATTTACCATGTAGTCCACTAAGTGATCAAAATAGTGCCAGTCATACATTATATTCACCATGGGCATTAGAACAAAGCACTAAAACCATACATTGTATAGATCATATATTGGTAAATTAGAGAATTTCAAACTCTTTTCTTATACATGTGATAAAAAGGAAGTGCAGCACACCTGAATGGCCTCAGGACTAGCATATGTTCTCGGGAATTTCAAATGATCTGAACCAATAAGACAGATTCGTGCACTGTCTGAATATGACTCGAAGTTTGCTTCAGCAACTAAATAACAAATGTGGGCAGCAGTAACCTGCGAACATCGTTATAATTAACAAGTCAGAGAAGACAATCATCTTTCTAGTGCTATTCTAGGAAGCACGGATACGGATACGGATACGGATACAAGATACGAGTACGATACGATACGGATACGGCGATACGACAAAATTTGAAAAATTAGGATACGGGAACGGCGGGGATACATTCATAAAAAATATTATTTTTACAGTTTTTCGTAATGTAACATACATAAAAATAAAACTTCAACAATTTTTAGTAATGTAGCATACATAAAAATAAGACTTAAAGCAAACGACAACTTGATAAAAAAAGAAAGATTCCTATGAAACTAAGAGTTTTCAAGGTCAATAGCTTCAATTTGTTCCCCTTCATCAGGGAATATCCTTAAATATGTATATGAACAAATAAAGTGACATATATTTGTTTAATTATAACTTTTTAGGACATTTTTGATATTTTTCGCACAAAAAAAAAAAAAAAATGTGACAATTTATTTAGCCATATGGGTTCAACTTTTTTCATAACCAAACACATTTACAATTACAACATATTTTAATTTTTTTAAACTAATAATCAAAAATTTTATAAGTATAAAGCTAATATATAAATGATATCAAATGGGGCCAAAACAGGAGTATACTCGTAAAAAAAAACAAAAACAAAAAAAATTGTACTAGACCAGAGAGATCGAAAGGGAGAGCGAGACGATAGAGGGAGAGGGAGAGGGAGAGATCGAGTGAGAGGGGGAGAGAGAGAGTGAGATCGAGTGAGATCTGTCCAGACCAGAGAGATCGAGCGAGAGGGAGATGGAGAGAGAGAGGGAGCAAAAGGGAGAGAGAGAGGGATGAACCTAATCGATGAGCTGCTGTTCGCGAACCTGATCGATGACTCCTTGCTGGTTGGTTGATAGAGATGACTCCTCCTCCTCTCCTCCTTTGCTGCTGTTGTTCGCGACCTAGGTAGGGCTTGGTTCATTGATTTTTTTGTTTTATTATACCTTACTTTTGTTATTTTATAGTTTGACCCCCATTATAAGTTTTTAAAATTATTTTTTCGCCCCGCCGTATCCTGAAAGTACCCCGACCGTATCCCTGAAGTATCCTCACGTATCCCAAACGTATCCGAAATTCAAATTTTTTTTAAAAAAATAGGATACTTCTTTGCCATATCTAATACGTATCCCGGCGTATCGGGCGCATATCTGTATCCGATATGTATCTGACACGCGTACGAGGGCCATTTCGGAGTATCCATGCTTCATTGGTGCTATTTCTTTGTAAGATAATGAATGAAAAGAAATGAAATTGAAATTTTAAATGTTAGATTTTCATTAATTAGGGTTTGATAAAACTAATACCTCCTTTCAATTGAGCCAAACAACTAATTGATTTGCTTGAAGATAGTAACCATCAATGAGGTAGAGGCCATGTATATATAATATATTCATGATACAATTTAGGAAACAATATACATAAGGTAAGATTCGTGCAATCAAAATAATTCTTATTTTAATTTTCATATTCAAACATAATATTTTGATTTCTATATTCAACACTCTCCCTCAAGTTGGGCGTGAAGATATTCAACAAATGCAGCTGGTCAATGGAAGACTAGAACGAAGTTGGTCCCATAGATTTCATGAACATATTTGCCAACTGCTGAGAAGAAGAGACAAAGGATGAACGTACAATGCCAGTCCGAATCTTTTCTTGAATGAAATCTATGTCGGTCTCGATATGCTTGGTACGCTCATGAAGCATAGAATCAGAGGATAACATAATGGCAGATTTATTATCATAAAATAAAGAGAAAGGAACAGTCTCCTCAAAACTCAACTCTACCAGAATAAAGCGAATCTAAAGAATCTAACATGTCCTCTGTGCTATAGCCCGATACTCAACCTCTGCAGAAGACCTAGAAACTACCGCCTGATTCTTACTTTTCTATGAGATAAGATGATCACCATAGAAAGTACAGAAGCCAGAAGTGGAACGCCGATCAGTCCTAGATCCTGCATAGTTTGCATTGGCGAAACAAGAGAGCCCAGATTGGAGACCAGCGATAAAGAACAATCCCAAGCCAAGAGTAGTCTTCAAATACCTCAAAATATGATGAATTGTGTCAAGGCGCTCTTTACGAGGTGCATGCATGAACTGATTCACAACACTAACTGCAAATGTCAAGTTAGGTCTAGTGTTGGTCAAACAAATGAGGCGTCCAACAAGACACTGATACATGCTTGGGTCATCTAGTAACTCACCAGACTCTGATGTGAGTTTGACACTAAGATCCATAAGAGTAGAAGCAGGTTTATACCTTAACATACCAGTATCCTGAAGCAAGTCAATGGTGTACTTTCTTTGAGACAAGGAGATCTCCTCCTTTGAGCAAGCCACTTCAATTCTCAGAAAATATTTGAAACATCCTAAATCCTTAATATCAAAAGTTTGGCCAAAGTCCATCTTTACTTGACTAATGCCGACAGAGTCATCACCTGTGAGAATAATATCATCCACATAAACTAACAAGACTATACACTGACCTCTAGAATTCCGACAAATGAAACAAATGTGATCGGAGTGGCACTAAACAAAGCCCATAAATATAATAACAGAATTGAAGCGACCAAACCATGCTCGTGGAGATTGTTTTAGACCATACAAGGATTTGCATAACTGGCACACTTTTGCCAAATACTCTCCCTTAGCTGGAAAACCGGGTGGAGGAGCCATGTAAATCATCTCAAGAAGATTTCCATGGAGAAATGCATTCTTGACATCAAGCTGATGAAGAGGCCAAGAATGCGATGCTGTAAGGGAGATAAAGAGACGTACAGAAGTAAGCTTGGTGACAGGAGCAAAAGTGGCATCAAAATCCTTACCAGGAATCTGTGTGAAACCTTTGGCCACCAAGCAGGCTTTTGTAACGGTCAACTGAGCCATCAACAAGGTACTTTATAATGAACACCCATTTACAACCAGCTGTGCTTTCCCTAGGAGGTAAAGGTACAATATCCTAAGTGTGATTCTGTTCTAAGGCCGCCATCTTAGTCTGCATAGCCGCTACCCATTTGGGATTCTAAAAGGCCTCAGACACAGAACGAGGAATGGACTCCGACTCAAGCTTGCCAAGAAAAGAACGGTAAGAAGGGGAAACTCTGTCATAAGAAAGATACTTGAAAATAGGATAATTAGTACTACTCAAATAACTCAAACAATTTGGAAGATGTCGATCCCGATGTGGGTTACGATGGGGAGGTGGAGGAGGAGCTAAAGGAGAAGAGTTACCTGACCCAGAGATCGGAGAGGTGGCAGGGGGGCTAAGTGCACGGGCTACGGAAGTATACTTGCAATGGGGGTGGAGGCGAAGGTTGAAAAGAAGGAAGGGGGCCAACCTCATTCTCAACCTTGTCCAAAATGGTCACAAGGCGAACAGTGGAAGTAACATGAGGAGAAGCCTGCAAAGAAGGGTTAGTATCAAAGAAAGGAAGATCCTCACAAAACGTAATATCCAAAGTGTGCTGAAAGTGATGAGACACAGGGTTATAACACCTATACCCTTTGGACATGGAAGAGTACCCTAAGAAGATGCAACGAATATATTTGTCATCTAACTTTGTGCAAGTGGGACTCCGATTTTGAACAAAACAGGTACACTCAAAGACTTACGGTAAGAGTAGAAACAGAGTGGTGATGTGCATAAAGGTATGAAACGGAGTGAGCCCATGCAACACACGACTAAGAGTCCGAGGTAAACAGCAACAAGGACAGCCATATGACAATAAGACTTGGGAACACCCATACCCCGAAGAAGACACCGGACAACAGACATAATATAATGGTTTTTGCATTCAGTAACACTATTTTGTTCAAGGGTCCGAGGACAAGTAAGTTGTTGAAGAATACCGGTTTGATTAAGATAAGAACAAAATGCATTAGAAATATATTCCCCACCATGATCAGAACGGATAATCCTAATAATTGTATGAAACTGAGTTTTAAACATCTGTAAAAATTGGACAAAAATGGGAAAGACGTCAAACTTACGACGAAGTAGATAAACCCAAGTGCACCTAGTGTGATCATCAATAAAAGTCACATAATATCTATGACTAGAAAAAGCAATGATAGGAGAAGGGCCCCAAACATCAGAATGTATAAGATTAAAAACACTAGGAGCACGAGTCATATGAGGGATATAGTGCTTAGACAACTCATAAACCACACAATGAAACTTCAAATCTTTGCAAGCTTTATTAAATGGAAGAAAAAGTTGACATAAATACTGAAAATTAACATGACCCATACGAGCGTGCCATAATTCTAAAGTCCGAATATTAAAAACACAAGACATGGAAGTAGGCAAAACAGAGGCCTAAAAACTAGCTAAGGAAGAAGAGGAAGGCTCGTCTGATGGATCTCCAAAGTAGTACAGCCCATCACGCTCATAGCCCTTGCCAACATCCTCTTCGAACTTACGTCTTGTAAAAGGCAAGAAGAGGGTAAGAAGATGATAGCATAATTAAATTATTTGGCAAGACGACTAACGAATAAAAAATTATATGCAAAATTTGGAGCATGTAAAATAGATGATAAGGTAATGGTAGGGGATAAAGACACTACACCCTTATGACGAATAAAGGAAAGCAGCAGAAGTACTTATTGCAAGGGTGGTAGCAGTGGTAGATGATGGGCCAGGAGAACTGGCAGTAAGAGATCCAAGTTGAGCCTAGAACTGACCAATTTGAGTCTGTAACTCCTGTAAATTAGGGAGATGAGGAGACCCAAGAGTAGGAATAGGGGAATCCACTAGAGCCGCAGTATGAGGGGTACCAGCACCATGAGGGCGAGAGGAACATTGTCTCAACTCAGGATGAAGTTTGAAGCAACGAGCCTTAACATGACTAGAAACGCCACAATGATGACAAGTAACTGGACCAGTAGAACCTCGAGAACCAGACTTTGCAACAAGTGCCATCCGATTAGATGAAATTGGAGACAGGGGAGAAGGATTCGGCTGAACCAGATACGTACGACGCTCATCACTATTAATGGTGGCAAAGGCCTCATAGAGAGAGGGTGCAGGTGATGTGTTTAAACTATGAGTTCGAAGGGATTCAAACTTAGAGTTTAAACCCATTAGAAACTAGTAAGTATGCTGGCGAGCAAGATGTTTGGACACAAGAGAGGCAACATCTGCTGATAACTTAGTCAAGGGCTCATATTGAGCCAATTCTTTCCAACAAGTCTGAAGGTATCCAAAGAATTTTGACACAAAAAGACCAACGACAAACTGGGAAGTACGAGCAATATCTTGATAGAGCTCAAAGATGTGAGCATCGTTATGAGCATAAGCATACATTTGTGACAAGACATGCCATAGACTGGAAACTGTGTCGCAATAGAGAAACATGTAATAAATACGATCTTCCACAGAGTTGAACATCCATCCCAATATAGTACAGTTATTAATATCCCACTGTGCAAAGGTAGGATGTGGAAGATAAAAGCCAATGAGCTTTTCCCTTACCCCCTAAATAGAGTTTAAGGGGGCAGTTCCAGATGGCAAAATTTTTTCCATTCAACACCACACTCCTAATACGATGAACAAGAGTGTGATGAGAAAGAGAAAAATCAAAATTAATTGGGACATGCTTAGAGGGGCTGAAAAACACATAAAGATAGCAATACAGTCTAAGAAAAAATAAGAAGCCGAAAAAAACTCAACGGCTTATCCAAATAGATGCTACTGAATAAACCCCGTAGCCCAAAAGAATAAAAGGACAGACAAAGGGGCTTAATATATCAGTCCAATCACCCCAAGAAGGGGAAAAAAACAGCCACGAACCACCTAAAGAGGCAGCCGAAGCACGTAAGACCAGAACCAAGTTTGGTCGGCAGCAACCAGAGCCTAGGTAGGGATAAAAAAGGCCTGCCGAGGTGAAGACAAGGAAGGAGAGGGGTTGCAGAGGCTGGGTTGAGATTGGGCTGAGGCTATCGGAGGGAGAAAAGGGCTGTCGGAGGCTAAGTGCAGGCTGAAAAAAGGCTAGGCTGAGGCTATCGGGGGGAAAAAAAGAGCTGGAAAGGGATATCGGAGGCTAGAAAGAAGGCAGTCGGTGATGATGGGTGGTTGAGAGAGAGATGGCTAGGGAGGCTCTAATACCAAAAAGAATGGAAAGAATTATTTGGCTTATCCATCAATGAGGTAGAGGTCATGTATATATAATATATTCATGATACAATTTAGGAAACAATATATACAAGGTAAGATTCCTATAATCAAAATAATTCCTATTCTAATTCTCATATTCAAACATAATACTTTGATTTCTATATTCAATAGTATGAAATTCTGTTGGAAACCAAAAGAATGTAAATTACAATTTTTTTATTTGCTTTTACTCCCTCAAGTCAGAGAAGACAACATACCTCGCCCCTCTCCTTCCATAGGCAATCTCCAAGATGAGTGATCACAAACTCATTATCTTTCGTTCTGTTTACAGTTATGATGGCTAAATTCTTCTCCCATTCATCAAGCATATAAATAGCTCCAATCTGTAGTCCATGCAAAACTATATAAACCAATAAATAACTGATAGAAAAATAAATAAATAACCATGCAGGCAGAGATTGTGCCCAGGAAATCTACGGCTATGTACAGCGTCGCATGAAGTAAGATATCATAAGCTTAATGATCATCTAGTACTTCAATTATATATATTTTCTCTGAAATTTTCATACAGAGTTCACAAACACCTAAGAGAAGACCTTGAACTTGAGTTGCTAAACTTATATCACCACTTGACCTTCTCTAGTGGTGGAATTTAAGTGAAATTTGGTTGAAAATTGAATAAGTCAATCTGTATAAGGTTAAAAATTTCATGCGTGTATCATGAAAGCAGAAACCCTTGATTTAGCATGCAGTTAGATGTTAACAAATGGTTTCCTTGTGTTAATAAACGAGTGTGAAACTCTTCTTTTGTTAAGTATGGATCTCAAGCAAGTCTTGTGTAAAGTTATGTACTTGAAAAAAAATAAAAAATAAAAATGGAAGTCATTTACTTATCTATCCCCTTTTTTCTTCTCTCTTTGATCTCCTTCGGATTATTATAAGTTTCTTCCACGGAACCTTCACAGGCATTTCAATTAAACCACAAGAAGAGGCAAAAGACCTATTGGGAAACATTTGGAAATTATGCTGCCTCAGTATTACTATCAACTTGATAACCCATTCCCACAGAACATGTATCACTTCATGATTATACAAAGTTACGGCTAATAATCAGTCATATGGATGGATCGTTGCATTAGGAGTCAGTGGCTGAGAAAGACACTGCTTTTGCAGCTATGAATTGAAGCCAAGTAGTTGAGATGTATAAGCCTTTTCCTAGTAGAGTTGAACTAAAAATGACAAACAAAAAATTATCCAGAAAACAAGTCTCTTTCCAGGAACAGTTTCAAGCTAATATATCACCTCAGAAGAATGTTGAGAGGCATTTACAGCACCAGGCAGACTACTAGTGCTCGTCGTATTGGAAAATACATCTGCAGGTTGCCCTGCAATTAGAAGGCATAATGTCCGCAAAGGTGATCCCACAATTAGCTGGTGAAGTGCCATTTGTTTCACAGTATCACCATAAAACTGCATAATTAAAATAGAAACAAGAAAATGTTAGCCTCAAATACAAATAAGCTGTGACATCCTTCTCCACAAATGGACTAGCTTGATAAATTAGGGACCAAGTCATTCCAATTAGGCAAGGAGAACACTGAATGGACTGGAAATTAAAAGAAAAGAAACCTGGTCACCGAGTTGAGCTGCAAGAACAAGGGCTGGCCCCCACAATTGACCTTCTTGTGCACAATGTAAAGCCTCTTTTACACTACCAGAAACCAGAAGCTTCTGGACCTCAAAAGCAGTAGCCTAAAGCACCAATACTATTAAATGAGGAAAAACCAAGTTCTGTGACAAATGTTTGGAAAAACCAAGCAGAAGAAGCATCTCTACCTGAATCTCTCCTTCAGAGGGCAGGTTCTGTAAGCAGTCTCTAAAAGCACCATATTCACCAACATTTCTCTTGGCAGATGCAAAGAGCTTAGCTACAGCTGATTCTGGACAATCACTTTCCTAGTCAAATTAAGAAATCAAGAAGAAGACCAAATCTCACTAATCAAAATCATAAGAGATCTTTCAACTTACAATGCGTAACAGTAATAAAACACAAAATCTACATCATATTTTTTCATATCAGGGATGGCCAAAGAAATTAAAAATAAAAACATTACCAAATTAATGAGTTTTCAAGCCAATCCAAAAAGAATGACCAGGCTACATCAAGATAAGTTGTGAATATATAGGAAGCCTCCAATAAATACACAATAAAGCCAAGTAGCCAACTCTTTATATTTTTAGGATGGACTATAAGAGCATTACAACTACATTAAGGCAGGAGGGTAAGGCAAAGTTGATATACAATCATAAAAAAGGTTAGGCTCTCCGCCCATCCTTGGTGAGCCGGGAAAAAGTTTTTATGAACCAAATATCAATGCAAAATTTTTCTTTGTGTGTGTGTGTAGGTACATATCATAGTTGTCAAATCGAGATTCGTATCGTGAATCGAAATGATCTTGTACCGAATCGCGAATCGAATCGAATCGTGAATCGTAAAGATTTCAAGCCAATCCAAAAAGAATGACCAGGCTACATCAAGATAAGTTGTGAATATATAGGAAGCCTCCAATAAATACACAATAAAGCCAAGTAGCCAACTCTTTATATTTTTAGGATGGACTATAAGAGCATTACAACTACATTAAGGCAGGAGGGTAAGGCAAAGTTGATATACAATCATAAAAAAGGTTAGGCTCTCCGCCCATCCTTGGTGAGCCGGGAAAAAGTTTTTATGAACCAAATATCAATGCAGAATTTTTCTTTGTGTGTGTGTAGGTACATATACATATATATATCATATATATAATGTATAAGTAATAATAATTCTGTGTGTTGCAATTGACTAGGCATTTTATAATGGCAAACCAAACCAAACTAAGCCTTGTGTCCCAATCAAGTAGGGTCGGCTACATGAATAATTATCCATTATTCTACTTTGTCAAGAGCAATATGCTCAATTTTAATTAATTAAATTCACATTCTTTTTTACTATAGCATCTCGTTTTAGTTTAGGTCTTCCCCTCCTCCCTACATTTCCATTTATGGATATTGTATCTGTACAAATTATATGAAGATGTTGAGAACCAATAAGAAGAGAAATGTGCTTTTTCTCTCCCTTAAGAAGCAATATTGGTGCTCAAGCCCCAATGTTACTACTCTATAAAATCACAAGCAAGATACAATGAACATAATAGGGAAACAAAAAACAAAAAGGTAGACCAGGTATACGAAATTTACCTTCAATGTTTGGTCAGTGCCAAAGGGAGATCGAAGTTTTCCGTAATACTGACATGCAATCTTCAGCAAAGAGAAGAGCAACCTTAGAAGTTCACCTTTTCTGTAGTCCATGTCAGGAGATTCACAGTTAGAAATCTTCTCATCAATCCATTTATTCACCTCTTTACTTCCAACATTCCCACCAACCAATGGGCCGGGAAATGATTGCTGACACAATGTATAGAAATAACTACAAGCTCCTGATCCAATGCTTGAAGCATCAGTTTTGTCCATCACAATATCCATCAAGTTGAGAATATTAATGACACCTCCAGCTGAGTCCTTCACATGAAATAAACATTAAAATTGAAACCTTTAAAAACAACAATGAAAAGACAAGTATGCTTAGATATTAACAAAACACCACAATTAAATAAAACAATGAAATAAAAAACATATTTTAGGAATTTGACTTTATCGAGTAGGGAGTAGGGGAGTATAACCTGGCCTCCGTAAGCTGAATTCATGAAAGAACTGTTATCCTTCATGACTATAAGTTTTCCACCGAATCCAAAAGTCACCAGAGCATGTGGAGGCCGCTGATCTGGTGACCTCCCCTCAGTGGAGCCATAAAGCAATTGGGTGCCACTCTGAAGTGGCTGCTGTGAAATATTAGTTGATTTCTGATTATCAAAGTAAGCAGGCGAGAAATGCATCTGTTGGCTTGGCTCCCTCTTATGCTGATTAATATGCTGAGAGAAGCTTACAGCAGGGATAAAGGTTTGAGAGCCAGAAATGCTATTAGCAGTACCAAAACTCTGACTCGTCTGCTTGGGTAAAGTAGCTGTTTCAGACGGTTTAAACCACATATGTTGATTTTGTTGATCAGGGGGTTTGTTTGCATGATAACTGGAAACATAAGGATCGTGTGATTGTTGGATATCACTAATATTAATAACTCCGCTGTTAGGAAGTGACGCTGTTATCCATGTATTCCTATTTTGCTGATTGTAATTACTCGTGGATCCAGACCCACCCAAAACTTGGCCATGGCTACTTGGGGCTCGGGAACCAAACTTCCCAATTTGATCAAATTTATCATGAATGCTATGATTTTTTTCAGGCAATAAATCACATTTTGTAACATTCCCATCTTGACTCTGCTGGTTATGATAGACACTGGTTGGCTGATTCATAGCTGCCGTGTAGGACTCCAATTGACGCCATTCTTGGGCAATTGTATCATAGCACCAACCAGGGTACTGGGGATCAAACACCATATGGTCTGGGTACACCAGATTCTGTTGTGAAGCGTGATTCCAGTTAGTAACACTGGCTGTTGTACACTCTGCCACACTGCCCAAAACAGAGTCAGAATAATAAGCGTCTGACCTTTGCTCTGTAACTACACCATCACCAGCTGACTCGACATCAAAATTCTCCTGGGTATTCACAGTTGCATCATAACCTTCCAACTGATCCCACTGCCCAGTGCGTGGGTCATATCTCCAGCCTGGATAGATGTTTTCCCAGTACTGACTGCTATTTAAATCATGCCCATCAATGGCCTGTTCCGTTTGTGACCCATGATATTGACCTTCTTTTTGCTGTACAGAACAAAATGAACTTAAATCACCAGGCATAGGATCAGGAACGCCAACCACATTGTTTGATGCAGAATTCCCTATGTCCTTTCCGTTTAAACCTCCTGAACCATCATTCAATTCACTGAAAAAGTCAGAGAACGACCCAGTTCCACTCCCACCATGAAGTTTTGAAGCGGAATTAAATGCACTCCAATCGACCTCCTTAATACCCATTCCACTTGATGCACTATTATTGCTGTTTTTTGACTCCAATTCACCATTAGCCTCCAAGGCAACATCATTTGATTGAACTACATTATGGGGATTCAGCGAAACACTGTCCTCAGTAACTAAATTTTCCTGATGACCATCCGAGGACGCTGAAACAACCTGAATACCAGATTCCCTTTCGCTGTCGACCCTACCATCAATATTGCCACCAGAATCTACTTTGGGAGCATGAAATTCACCAACACTTAAGTTTGAAAATGCTTTTCCCTCATCAGAACCCTCATTTTCTACAAAACTAGGGCCAGATTCAGCAATATGAGTATCATCATCAACCAGTTTATCAAAAAAATTCTCATCCATCTGATCCTTCACCAGAAATGGAGGTGAAGCCATCTATATTAAAACCTAAACTTACAATTACTGTCAAATTCTTCAATGCCTTTTCACTTGCTAATTACAATACAATTAAAACCAAAGAATTTGATTAAGCACCCTAAATTCCGGAAATACATTAGCATTCAGCATCTGAAACAAACCACGTTCCGAAGAAGAACATCGACATTGGTTTTTTTTGTTGTTGCAAGTGTTGAATTAAACAATGAAAGAACCGAAACAACGAAGATCTCTCAATGCAATAACAAGAGACGATAAAAACGAGTTGGAATGAAGAATGAAATGTGATAATCCATGGGAGGGAGGGAGAGAAAGAGAGGAATGGCTTACCTGCGATTATCTGCGAGAGGGTGAGAGAGAAACCAGAGAGAGACAAAGCATGGTTTTCGCACCAAGAATACATGTCACGGTACACCCACCTTTGCATGTTTTTATTTCATTATTTATATATATAGATATATGTTATGTATGTTAGTTACTTGTTATGAGCTCTACATGACATAAATTGACAAAATTTGATAAGGGTAAATATTTCGTTTGACAATTACATATCTTAATTAAAAAATTATTATAAATTATTATATTATTTTTTTATTTT